CCACATTTCGAGCACAAATTATTGCTCACAATCATATCAAGTCACTCACTCACACAACTTTTTCCCTTCATTTATATACATGTGTGGAATCGACTAGATATTTGAATATAAGTAGGTGGAGAGAGAGAGATTGATTATTATTATTGATGGTTATTATTATTAAGATGAAGTGGAATACTAATTATATAATATCGAGTTTGTGTATTCCGAATGTTGGAAGAATGTGAGAAGGTATGATTTTTATGGGAAAGCTAATTCATTTAACAGTTTGACAAATATTTCTCATAGGATTAAGGGTTTGTTGGCATTTAATTAATTTTTCTGAGTATCTTATCAAGAAACCACATCATCATCAGTGAAGTAAGCCATGGATGCTCAGCGATTAAAAGTCCCAAACTACGACAGAATGACTGTCCATTGGTTATCGGTTTTTAATGACTCTCTAACTCTATAGATATTCGAAGAAGTCTGTATTGAAATATCTCTTGTCAAATATATTTTTCTTTCCAAACTACATTCATCAGTTCAGATTTAACAGCTAAGTTTGACAATTTAATAGTGAGAAAACTACCAGTGAACTAATTAAATCAGTCTGTTGGGGCTAACGTCTTCATGGGTTTCTTCAGTATACCCAGTTTCATAGACTGGTGGAAACACTAACAATTTATTGCCTGTATATGGATGATACCTTCACTTTTTTTTGAAAAATGATTTGGACTGGGACACAATAATAACTCAGTTCAATAAAGTGCATTCAGCTATCAAATTCATGTGTGAAGAGGAATCCCGAAATAGAATCGCTTTCTTAGACGTCTTTCTTAGAAGAAAACCAGATGGTAGTGTAAAGAGAAATCTGTTCAAGAAAAGTACACAGACAGGACAATCTACACATTTCCGTAGTTTTGTTCCTCTCCGGTACAAAAGAACTTTAGTAAGGACCCTCAGCCACAGGGTTAGGGTTATTGAAGATTAACTAAGGATTGTATATGATACCTTGATTGAAAGTAGCTATCCCGACAAATTTATCAAGAAACACATGATGAAGAAAGCGGAAAACGACTACTCACTGTCCGTAAACAAGGAGCCTTTATATCTGACTGCAACTCAAGGGTGACGCTCCTAGTGAAAAAATTACTTAAAGGTTAAGAAAATCTATTCAAAGAACTTTTAATGCTGGTAAACTACAAGTCACTTTTTCTATACAGCCGATGATGATTACTCGATTAAAAGATGAAGCACCTAGACTAGCTAGTTCCAATTGTATCTACCAATTCGACTGCGCTTGTGGTGGAGCGAGTTATATTGGCTGTTGCTCTAGGAACTTGATTTTTTGTGCTCTAGAACATCTCCCAGTATGGCTAAGTAAAGAAAGGTGTAGTGAAAACCATCAACAGTTCGATATTAGACCACCGGTAACAAAGGCAGCATTGAAGAATCCTTCTCTATCATCTACCAGGTACTAAATCCATTGCCAAAAGCATCCAGGTACTGAATACTCCGAACAGCAGAGACTACTGCAGTTCTCCTAAAACAACCGGTGTTCTGTGTACAGAAGAAACAAGTCTAAACACTATTACTGCCCTTGCCTGCTGTGGAGTCTACAGAATCACAGGTACCTTATTATATTAGCCTTTTTGATATGGCCCTCCATCCAGGACATTAAACTTCCCCTACCCGTCGTTATTTATTTTGTTTTTTATTTTTTATTTTTGATTACAGCTTGATGCCACACCGTATTTTCAGTACAAGTATGGCATTTTCAGCATGGATATCGGTAGCCCAAATTTTGCAGGCCGACCAAAGATATCGGGTGTGCGTCGGTAGGGGTTCGAACCCCGGACCATGTGCATGGTCGGCGAGAGTCCTAACCACTGTGCCACCTGAATAAGCTAATCTTTTGTCTTCTCATCTAAACGTAGCCACTAACGTACACACTGACACACACACACACACACACACAACGCACATAACCTTCTTGATATGATCATTCACCCATCTTAAGTTTACAATCAATATGAATACAACTTAATATGAAAATGACTCATGAGAATTTATTACTATACATTCGTTGTCATCCAGAATAACTTACTTTGTAATATTGGTGTTCAATTTATTAATATTACAATTATATGTAGTGCCACATACACATAAATTTTGAAAACTATAATTTATTCACAGTGTAATTGCAAATAACCTTTGGGATTCTGGTCTAAATGACTCGATGTTACTCCTTTTAAAAACCACTAATTTTGTCAATAACAATCATTCTTTCATTATTATGGATACATAACTGTAGAACCTGATGAAGGTGTTATCGAAAAGGATATTCATTGTTCAGTTTTCAGTCTTTTTAAGTATAATAGTAGACTACAAAAGAACTAATGCTCGTCAGATTTGTTATGAGGAGGACATGTTCAAGTGATCCAATCGTTGGGGAACTGGAGCGACTCAGACAAGTCCTCATAGAGAATGGATATCCTCCAAGATTTATCGAGAAAAACATGAAGCCAAGGGAAAAACCTGAAAGAATACAGACGGTGCCGAAGAAACTGCTGTTTATGAGTGTTGAATTTAAAGTTGATACCGCAGCTGAGATCCTGAAGAATCGCTTATGCAGATCACTGAGGAAAGCCTTCTTTATAGCTGAGCTACGGATCGATTTCTACAGCCGACAAATGATCAATGGATGTGTGAAGGATAAACTGCCGCTTTGGGCCACCTCAATGTGCGTTTATAAATTCACTTGCTCGTGTGGAGCTAGTTATATCGGCTGCACAAAGCGCACGCTTTCCAAACGCATCTCTGAACATTATCCGGCATGGTTAGCAAAGGGACAATGTAAGACAATTACTAGCTCAATTCTTGAGCATTTGGTGAACTCAGGCCACGTAGCTCCACCAGAATCGTCTTTCAAGATCATCTACAAAGTGAAGCCGAATGGTACAAAGGGCGTCAGGTTTCGGCTTTTGTGTATGGCGGAGGCTCTGGCAATTCATCAATACAACCCTGAACTCTGTATACAGAAAAAGTTTGTCCAGTCTCTTATTCTACCTTGGTCTTAACCTCTTCACTAATCGTTCCTTGTAAATAAAAATATATTTTGATTTTTTCTTTTCATTCTAATTTCACCTTTAGTTTGCTTTTGCTTTAGTAATTAATTCACTATTATCACTCTCATATGCTCCTTTTGTATATTTTTCACACCCTCTTCACACTTGTTAAGTTGACACTCAAATACCTTTACTCTCACTCAATTGCAATTTTAACCTTATCAAATTTCTACCTTTTTTGCCGTTGAGTACCACGTAATTTACACCTTTTAATTTTCACTTCTAAAACCACTTCTGAGTAATTATATCAATTATTTCAACCCCTATTACTCAATAATAAACCACTATATATTTTTATAAGTATAAATACGACTGTACAGCCTCTGAAGATGATTTCGTCGATAAAGAAAAGTTTCTTCGCTGAATCTGTCTTATATATATGGCACTACATATAATTGTAATATTAATAAATTGAACACCAATATTACAAAGTAAGTTATTCTGGATGACAACGAATGTATAGTAATAAATTCTCATGAGTCATTTTCATATTAAGTTGTATTCATATTGATTGTAAACTTAAGATGGGTGAATGATCATATCAAGAAGGTTATGTGCGTTGTGTGTGTGTGTGTGTGTGTGTGTCAGTGTGTACGTTAGTGGCTACGTTTAAATAAGAAGACAAAAGATTAGCTTATTCAGGTGTAATAACGAGGGGTAGGGGAAGTTAAATGTACAGGATGGAGGGCTATATCAAAAAGGTTGATGTAATAAGGTATCTGTGATTTTGTAGACTCCACAGCAGGCTAAGGCAGTAATAGTGTTTGAACCTGTTTCTTCTGATTTGCAATAGTCACTACTGTTTGGAGTATTCAGTACCCGGATGCTTTTGGCAGTTTATTTAGGAATTAAAGGAAACAATAATAATAATAAACAATTAGAAAAGTTGGTTCCATCATTGAGCTAAAGTAACATTTTGTCTGTGAACATATATATAT